AGTAGTAGTAGTAGTAGTAACAGTGGGAGCCACTTTCTCAGTGTCAGTATTTGCTGCAAGGGTGCTGGTAATGCCAGGCCTCTTCGGGCGGCCTCTCTGGCGCCGCGGCCGTCCGAAACGCTTCGCTGCTCCCTCCACCGGTTTGGACGCTGCTGCCTTGGGCAGTGGCTTCGAGGCTGGTTCTCCTTCTTGCTTTTACAGCTATGAAACTTCTCATTTCCATGGTTGTCACCTTTTCTCTCTTTGCCATTATTACTGTTCTTCCTTTCTGTTCCTTTCTGTAATGTCCGTGGGATTAGTCTTGCTACTATAGCAGCCGTAGCATTGTAACAAGTGTATATTGCAAGTATTGTAGAAATCGCATTCTGCTACTTCTACCGGTGCTTTGACTGTGAGTGCCCATCGCTGATTGTATTCGTAGATGTGATATTCATCGTTACTGGACATATCATTGCTACTGCTAGCAGCACGAATTCAAGCTTATTGCTGGTAGCAGTACGAATGCTAGTGCAGTAGTGTGCTTCTACTGGTATGGCTTGCATTTGCAACGATGACAACGACCCTCGACATCGACAGCCCTTCGCTACACTGCGCCTGGTACACATTCACGGGCCTGCCTGCCTACAAGAAATTACACGGCGAGCAGCAGCAGCAGCAGCAGGAGGAGGAGGAGGAGGAGTAGTAGTAGTAGTAGTAGCAGTAGTAGTAGGAGTAGCAAGAGTAGCAGGAGTGGTGGGGGTGGGAGTAGTGGTGGTAGTGGCCAGTGGAATTGGAGTGGTCGTGCCGGCCACGCATAATGCATGTCGCCAATGTGAATCGTAGGGCCAAGGGCCAGAAATTCCGTCCTGTTCGGGCGTGTTTTGGGATAGTTTGCAGGACGTTTACTTCATTTCAGCGGATGGCACTCGACTGCACGCTGTAGAAGGCCGGAGGATCAAAGAAGGGACATGTGAATGTGAAAGAGCGGCGCTCGGCCTGGGAAGGTGCCGGCTTCGGACGGCGCGGACTGAAGCGGCCGCTGGTCTTTGTGCACGGCTTTCCTGACATGTGGACCTCCTGGGAAGGCCAAAGGGTCAGAAAACTTCACTTTCAACCGCCGACATCCATCGGGCTCCAATAGGTCAATAGGCTCAAGCAAGGCAGTCTCTGCAGAGGACTGGACCCTTCGGCAATGAAAGGAATCCTGCAGACAGGATATGCTCAGAAGGTCTGCACTTGACGATTGGAGATGGCCCCTGTCTCACGAAGATCAGCCACCGCCACCGATTCTCACGTCCAACGACAACGTAAACCGATCCCGGAAGATGTTGAAGGTCCTGTAAGCTCGCTGCGCGAGCGGCAAATGTTAGAGGGAGCACGTCCAGCGCAAAACCTGCTGGGGAAGGGTGCCGCAGGCGAGACGGTTCTCAAGAAGCATCTGAATCTGTTTTGTGAGATTTGAAACGGTAAGGCGGGAAGCAAAGAGAACACACAAATGCAGGCCATGCCTCTCCATGACAAACGTGCAACCCTACCGGCTTCTTCGAAACAAATCGAGATCCCGGTCTCGAAGGTCTGGTAAAGCAAGCACGACAACCACGAGACAACATTGCTGCACCGTCTTTTCGCCGTTGGAGACTGCAGCTCGAGCAAGCCTTCTAGGCTTAGCCCACGACACGACTAAATGACAATGGTTAACATGATCAAGCTTGTTGTCACTTCTCTGGTGGCACCCGAAAAGACCAAGACTCGACTCGCTGACTGTACGAGATTACGGGTCCTACCGTCAGCGTGACCACCTACTTCTATGAACATAACTATCATGTCATCTGCTTTTCCTCCTGTTTGTCTCATCGAGTAATCCAGACCTTGCTTTGCAACCCTAAAGCCTAAACCGCAGGCCTTAAGCCCATGCTAGGTCCCAAACCCCTAGCCGGAACTTCCAAACCCCGAACATCTCCAAACCCGAAGCTTTCCCACACCCAACCTGCAACCCAGAAAACCCATTCGTTTCAGGGATTGTCACCAGGAAGCCCGAAATCTACAAGTCCCTTGATTTACAGGCAAGTTCGAATTTATGAACCCCAAGCTGCTGAGCTGGTTTCCGAACCTCTCCCAATGCCTTCGGCGCACCGAACAGCAGCTTAACCATTTGATCAGGGCTCTTGTCTCGTGATGTTTAGGGTTCTGGAGCCTTGTCGTCGCAGTAGTAGTCGTCCAGAAGCAGAAGCAGAAGCAGAAGCAGAAGGTTGTCGTAGTCGTAGTCCTAGTCGCAGTCGCAGTAGAAGTAGTAGT